CAAATCTTAGATGTATTCATGGTTTACTGGCAACATTCTGCCCCCTTGACCATTCAGAAAATGTCTTCTATTCACAGAATATGAGGCTTTCTCTAAAGGAGGGGCGGATGAACGTTGGGATGTCTCCTAAGGGACACATAGACTTTTAGATGTGATAAGCAGCCATTCGGCTACCTGATCACATTCACAAAGCTGTGGAGGGGAGCTGCCAAGTTTACATACTGTTTGGATGAGATCTGCAGTTTGTTATCTGCTGATTACATCCAATCAGTAACAAGGATGAACGTTGGGATGTCTCCTAAGGGACACATAGACTTTTAGATGTGATAAGCAGCCATTCGGCTACCTGATCACATTCACAAAGCTGTGGAGGGGAGCTGCCAAGTTTACATACTGTTTGGATGAGATCTGCAGTTTGTTATCTGCTGATTACATCCAATCAGTAAAACTCAATTGGGGGGGGGGGGGGGGGACGTTAAACTTTTTGATCAATTAAAATAATTTTGATCGCTAATGAAAACACTCACCTCTCCGCCGCCTTCCGGGAGTCCCGTCGGCGATCCGGTGACGTCACCGACATCGACGTCACCGGACTTCTTCCAAGTGGCTCCGTCGACTAACGAAGGGAAGGGGGAGGAGTCCGGTGACGTCGATGTCCGTGACGGCTAACAAATGGAAGGGGGAGGAGTCCGGTGACGGTGATGTCACCGGACTCCTCCCCCCTTCGTTAGCCGACGGAGCCACTTGGGCCGGTGAGTTTGCCCAAGAAACTTTCTGCACGAGCACCAGCCAAGGCATTGGCCTATACACATACAGCACAGCAATGAAGTAATAAAATGAACTAGGATCACACTAATCCAGCATGTTATTATTCAGAGTTGCCCCACTCAAGCGGCGGCCATATTGAGTGGGGCACGTGAGAATAATAACGTGCTGGATTAGTGTGATCCTAGTTCATTTTATTACTTCATTGCTGTGCTGTATGTGTATAGGCCAATGTAGTTGGATCTGTATGTGCGTTATAATTAATCGAAAATAATCGATTTTACATTTTTTTTTAGATATATCGAACACGAAAATGTTAATCATTACCAGCCCTACAAATATATATATGGTATGGAATATTGCTGTCACTGATTCCAGCCAGCAACTCTATGCTCTTTATCACATGCTTACCAGACTAACCTTAACTGTTTAGTTGAAGAAGCCTGTGCACAGTGCTGAATAGCTAAAGTTTATTTTGAACACACAGCTGAATGTGTCGGAGAAATGATCACAACCCCTTCCCTGTTATGTTTATGAAGGGGTAATATGGAGAATCAATAAAGGAAGATACATTGACAAAGAAAGCAACTGCTGCTGAGTTGCCTCTTTAGAAAAAACATAATGCTCTGCAAAAACGTTATAGGTGTTTCCTGTTTTTATTGTATATTTTATACTACTAAAAAAAAATATTTCTGGTATTAAAAAAGATTACACAGAAGTGTTATAGTTTTCCTTTTAATGATAAACTTGAAATTGGTAAAAAGGTTAATATTTATAGCAGGTGTTGATGCTTAAATAAAAAGCACAAGTACCCACAATTAAAAAAAACAAACATGCATTGAGTTAAAGTGGAACTTTAGGAAGAATTTATTGGGTTATAAGAATTTAACCCAAGAATTTGCTGGGTCTATCTTGGTTACCTCTAATGTTTGGTATATTCCATCTGGAGAGCTGCTGGGGATGCTACAAATCTTAGATGTATTCATGGTTTACTGGCAACATTCTGCCCCCTTGACCATTCAGAAAATGTCTTCTATTCACAGAATATGAGGCTTTCTCTAAAGGAGGGGCGGATGAACGTTGGGATGTCTCCTAAGGGACACATAGACTTTTAGATGTGATAAGCAGCCATTCGGCTACCTGATCACATTCACAAAGCTGTGGAGGGGAGCTGCCAAGTTTACATACTGTTTGGATGAGATCTGCAGTTTGTTATCTGCTGATTACATCCAATCAGTAACA